AGTAGCGTTCAAGTTTAACGAACATAACAAGTATTCAATTAGAAGATTTATCAATGACTGAATTCCTTAAAAATAAATTAAAAAATGGATCATTGTGTGTATTATTAGAATTGATGAATCTAGTTACAATCTTTTCATGGCAACAAATGAACTAAGATCTAACAAATCGAATATTTAACGTTTATTGATTATCTTGAAAGATTTGGAAATGTCAACACCAAATGAACTGTTAAGTGAAAACATACTGTTTGTTAAGGAAAAATACACACACACACGCACACACACACATGAATCCGTATTATTATTCTACGTTAGTTGTTTTTACATTAGACAAAACTAGAAAGATAAGAACAAGATACAACTAACGTATTTCTTTGTCAAATCGATTGTAACACATTCATTATCAAACATTCACTGTCAATAATATGGGGGAAAATATGAATTAATCATATCTGAACAATACTGATGTATTATGTAATGAATTAATGAATAGTCTACTGGGGGGATGGGTATAAATGACTAAGGATGAATGATTTATGAATGAATGATTTCATGGATAAATGAAAATGATCTACGTATTGAGTCTACCATATCTTTTTAGATATTTAACTTTGAAATGATAAAGATGAATAGCTACCTATGTAACTTTATGAAAAGAATATTTGTATATGCCAGCAATTACAGTTACATTATGAAAGTTATTGGGGATGACTGTTAATTGTGAACCCCAAATGCTCTAGTACGGCTGAGAATGGAGAGCGTCAGCTCTCTCTCTCTCTCACAAGTGGCCACATGCATACAACTACTGCCTTCTCGAGGCAGAGGTGCTGATTATGAAATTGAGAGGACGAAAAACGAATGTCCGGAGCTTTAACCGGGTTAATGGTTACCGAGGTTCCACCTAGGGGAGTTGGGAAACCGTGATTCCAAACCAATGATGTACATGGACTCCTGGATCCTAAGTAACACAAATGGCGTATGAAACTATTATTGGTCACCGGTTTCCTTACGTTACCCCACTGCCTTGTGGATTAGACCTTTAGGTCAAAGGCTTTGGGCGTGGCTCCCTAAGAAAACCACCTGTTTCGGTCTGCACACACATGTAGTAACACAGACCTCATACAAATAGAATGATTTATGTGGCGCATATCTATTTGATGCCTTCTTGTACCAATGTTACTGTTCAAATAATTAAATAAATGAATAAATAAAACCAATCAACCAAATCACTCCAGTCACTTTTATACAAACTGAAGGATGAAATGATAAAAGAATAACGGTCGATTATCATCAACAAAACGAAATATTTCAACTTTATCCAAATAACATCAAGCGAAGTGATCACTACTTTTATATTAGTCTGAATAAATTCCAACTAGCTGTCAAACTCTACAATGCATCTTAGCTAATATTGATGGATGTAGACAATTATAACTATACAGTTGACTAGTAAAATGTTACAATGTTAAACAAAGGGAATGTAACGGAGACCAGAGGATTTTTATACACCTCACACTCAGGCCAATCAGTGATTAAGAATTCAGTTCAACTTATAAATTGCCTAGAAAATCAGTAGAAGCATCACGATTGAAGTCATCAAGTACATAGAACGCCACTATGCTGTGGATTCGGGCTCATGTAAAGTTATTGGTATATACGTTGCTTAAAAGTTCCATATCACGATGGAACAACTATTTATTGATTTATAACCAGATATCGAGCTTCAGTGCTTCTCAATCTTGACGTTTCAAACTGATTTCAGGTATTAGTATGAGGGTTTTTTGAAGATATCTGAATGTTGCAGTTTACATCACGAAATGACTTTAGTTATATAACCATTGAAGACTGGGAGGAATTGGATAGGTGCTTCGTCCAAGCATAAAACTTTTCAACAGTTTACAACCACGACCTCTCTAAGATCAAAGCTAAGGTATTCAGATATCACGAAGAGTGTCTCATCTTTACATCACTGAGTTGACATCCATAGGTATACATCACAACACTTGTGGGGTTTGTAGGCAAACTCTGTTGACGATTATGATACTATGACAAAATAGCTATTCAACGCTATGTGTTATACAATGGTTGTTTATAATATATGTACTATCGCAAACTAAACGGCCGCAGTTTGAACTCAAATGGTTATGGTTTTTCAATAGAAGTCGACAATTACCTCTTGAGATTAATCACTAATGAACACATGATATAGTGACATCAATAATGCTAAATAATCCACACAAACATCTATGCCGATAATAGCTGAACAGTGTAAAACTGATGTCATCTTTGGTTTTCAACTCTCTCTCTCTCTCTCTCTCATAAACACTATTTTGCTAGCTCACATATATTAATCACTGAAAAGAGTTGAAACGTTTAATGTTCTCTTTTTTTTCAGAACCGGTTTGATGATCACTAAGAAATAAGATGTCAAATGTAATTTCTTCAGTTGTCGAGTGATCTGGAAAATCTCATTTGACTGTCCTGATAGCAATAACTGTTATGAAAGATAATCTTTCATCAAGTTAATTTCATTCTGAGTATATTATTTAGTTACGTAGTCAATTATTGCTTTACTGTCAGTGTGATTGATCAGATCCTACCCAAATGTATATTTGAAATGTAATCTATCCTAATGTCATAATAACTTAACAACAATCTTAATTACACTTTTAGTAATATCATCTTTTGTCTGGCTTATTTTTTAAAAAGCTTCTTGTACTATTGTAGTGAACGAGAACACAGTCAGGCATAACCAAATGTATTTGAATACAAAATTACAGAATCTCTTAGTAAGACCTAAGAATCAAATAGTAAGTACTTCAATTACAAAATGTTAATCAATCGTCACAGAATTAACTGTTTCTTCATTTCTACACCACTCATTCTCTGTTCTCATTTTCTTCTCTTCGATCTTTGATCGTCTTTAGCCTTCTGCCGCCAGGTATTTCAGTTTCGATTGATGATACATATTACTTATATCTATCGATATCAGTAGCATAAAACATACTATTATAAACGTTTATCACAAACTGATTGATTAAATTATGTCAGTGTACTATTTTCTTGTTATTTCTAATGACGTTACTTGTTAAAAAATTTAAATTGTTGTTAGCTAATGAGAGTTGGTGCAAATGAATATTGAATTCACTGTATTATAATAATTTTTAATTTGGTGATTAATTATGATCATCTAACTGGTTTATGTGTTAAGGATTAAGTATAGAATTCATTGAAATCTATCAGTCAATCAACTTGCATATTATAATCCTATAGGAGGCTAGTTGGTGCTCAAATAGCTCAATGACAATGTCTTAAACTGGATGACTCATATCTGAATCCACCAAGAAACATCAATTCTTTGAGGATTGCATGTATTCTTTTGCTGACAAGTGTCAACTAACATGAAAATCACGTTTTTGTTTTTTTTTTATCGACTACTTTCAACCAACTAATAAACAGGAAACACATAGACTATCCAGTCAAACAGTCAGTCAGCTACAACGTAGGACTAGGCACATATGTGTACCGCTTCACGTTGCCATACCTCATTAGCACAACAAGATGAATACTGAATTCATAGAGGTAGTCACTTCAATCATAGTAATGTATAAAAGAAAGATTGCATATAAAGATATAGTACAAGAAGAAAGAATTAGTTGGTAGGAAGAAAGATATGAAGAGATTTTAATATCACCATATAAGGGAAGACAGACAAAGTTGTTAAAGAATCATTGCTTTACGCTACATCCATTAGTTTTAATTCATACAAGTTAAAATGTGATGCAAATGAATCATTATTGTATCACCAGTTTCAGTTTGGAAAGGACAGGAGGCTTGATGGCCTGTGTTAGTCCTGGCAATGGTGGTCTCAGTTGATCAAACTTTCTTTTGAAAGAGTCGACGGATGGAGCCTCAACCACGTGCTGAGGTAATGAATTTCACTCGTTGATGATTCGATGGGAAGGTCGACAGTCAGCTGACAAGTAATTTGTTCTGGTCTTGTGAACTTTTTTGGAGTGTCCTCGTAAATTCTCTGTTTTGGATGTCAATGTAGTTTTTTAAAAAAAGTGTTTGAATATATATTTGAATTAAAGTAGTTAAATTTGCCGGTTTTAGTCAAATTTCATTTAAAATTTTCTAATATCGATAAACGTTGTTATGTTTGTGAGGTGTGTACTACTGAAATCGATAGATATATAAGTAGTATATATCACCACTCAAAAACTGAAATACCTGGATGCAGAAAGTTAATAAGATCAAAGAAAACAGAATGAAAACAGAAAATGATTGTTGTGTATTATATAACGCGAGTCAGGAATAGAATTACTGGCAGCAAAAGATTGAGTAGATCGAAGAGGAAAGAAAGGGAACAGAAAGCAATTAGTATGGAAATGAAGGAATAATGAATTCTGAGACAATTAATAAACATTTCGTAGATAAGATATTATAGTATGGTTATGCTATTTCACCAAGTCATATTGTATATTCCTGTATGGCTTTAAATTTTAATAACCAAGTGAATATATATTCAACGAATCAAGTTACACAGGATCATCAAACACATTTCATTGACAGTACGGGGTTGTGGAGACTGTTGAGTTTTTGATTGAAATCATGAATCGATCAATGTTAGACCACAATTATGAGCCTGAAATCACTAGAGGACGGTTCCGTCCTAATATGGAATACCGTTGGATGATGGCTCAGTGGTCTAGAGGTTGAGCATTCGCATACGAGATTGACGGTCCTCGGATCGTGAGCGCGCACTGCTGAAAAATCTCATCCTAGAATGAATTGGCCTTATAGTGGTTTCAGGTTTTCAATGGTGGTCTAATATCAATCGATTCATGATGTCACTTAATCAAGAACACTTTATTGACTTTGAATGATTGGACTCAAATAACGAGATGCTTAAACATAGTATCAACGACTACTTATAAACAGAAGACTACAAATATATCTGTGTTAAAACAGATGATCATCATCATGAAAAATTACTTACCAAATAGTATATTCACAATTGATGGTGGTAAATTTAATGTTACATGTAGTAAAGCAGCTATTGCTTGTGATCCAATAAAATAATAAACTATCGATACATTTTTACCATTTCCTTTTGTTTGTAATATACCACCAAGTAGAATACAATTAGTTAACCATGTTAATATAATTAATGTAATACATAAACATAATACAGTTAAATTAGTTGATTGTAATTGATAATTATTAGCATTAATAGTTCTACGAATAATATGAGTGAATACATGACTTTTATTCATTATTAATTATTTGTATATTTAGATAATTAAGAATAGATAGAGTTTAATATGTCAACAATGGAACAATATTCAGTGAAGTCATTCAGGCTCTCCTTTACAATTGTTCTAATCTGTACTACTATTACTACTACTACATATGATCATAGGAGATTAAATGTTATGTGTAGATACTTTAATTCAAGTGAATAATAACTATCAATCAAAAGATGATATAAGTATGCAACATAGCAACTTCTTGATTATCGAATAATTAATTTGATTGTGATTAATCTTCTTTCTTTCAATTACTCAATAATTATTTCTAATCGATATGTCATTATTACTTAACGTATCCACTTGATAAGTATTATTTCATTATTGTAAATCATATATAGAGCAATAATGAAAAAAAAAGTACTAATTGAAAAGGAATCTATTCACTGAATTCATTCCTTCTTTAATTACCAAATATCAAAATGGGAATTTTCATTATTGAGATTGTTGTTATGTTGTTGTTGTTCTCTTGATTGAGATCATAAATGAATCAACTAATGTTTAATTATCAATAAAAATCTGGTAACATTGAACAACAGATTAATAACTATTTGAAATCTATTTAATCCATTTGATACTTAACAAAAATCAACAGAACTTTTAAACTTCTATTCTGATTGGTTGATTTTATACAACAGAATTCTTTCCACTTTATTCTGATTGACTGATTCGGTACAACAGAATTTTTTTACTTTATTGTGATTGGTTGATTTGATACAGCGGAATTTTTTCACTTAACTCTGATTGGTCGTTTCGATATAACGGATTTTTTTCATTTATTCTATTCTGATTGGTTTATTGCATATTGATGTAATAATTTAAAAAAAAAAGAATTACATAATATCTGTAAATGAAATTCTCTATTCACATGATTAGTTCATTGTAGATCCTTTCATATGTATGAAAATATCTAACAGATTTTCGTAAGTAGAAAGGTATCCTTTTAAGTTTGTTAAATATGATTCCCATAGTTGAGATCATGAGTCAGTTGAAGCTAGAAAATCATGGAAAACCTGGAAGCACTGGGCGGCTGTTTCGTCATAGCACGGGACTCCTCAGCAGTGCGCATCCATGACACCACACCACGGGATTCGAGACCACAACCTATCAGTTTCGCGCTAGGCGCTTAACATCTAGACCACTGACCCGACTGTCATCCAACGGTGTTAATGTCTAAATTCAACTAATCCACGAAATTGAGCGATGCACCCATCATTGTAATCAGTGAGTTACTATCTCACAACAGACCCGGTTGAACTCCACTGGCCATGGCTTCTCACCAGAACCCCATGAAATAATTCATGGAGACCGTCACTAGTGAGCATATGATAATCATAATCAGAGAGGGTTTTTTTGGATATTTTGGTAATTTAGTAGTTGAGATCAAGAATCAATTGAAGCTAGACCACCACATGGAACCACTGACTATCGTTTCGTCTTATTGTGGAACATCCAGTACTTCTAAGTATTCCATGGTGGTCTGTCGTCAGTTGACTCATGAATTCAACTATTAAACCGTAAGTGTTTGTAGTTCAGATGGATGCATTCGGTGGCATTGAGTTCTTGGTGTTAGATTTTTGAAATTGCCATTCTCTTGTTGTCATTCTGGATACGGTTTCAAGATCGCATTTCATTTAGAATTTTTTAAAATGAATAATCATAAATTTCAATCTTAATCAATCATCTTATTGTGTATTTGTTTACAGAAATGACACTTAGTTTCCACAACTTTAATACTGACTCTTGATTGCCTACATGAAATTCCCAGTTACTCGACATAGCAAACCTGAATGTGAGAAAGTTGGTTACGTACTTGGTTTTATTGGGACTTCCACAAACACTTGATTATAAATGCGCAAATATTCTAGACCATAACACTCGTACTCACTTACTTGCGTCCGTCACACCTCGTGAAGGAGCATAGGTCATCCACCAGCATTCTTTATGCAACTCTGTCCTCAGCAATCCTTTCCAGGTGTTTTCAGTTGCTATTCATTCTTTTCATGCCTACTTCCAACTGCCGACTCAGAGTGCTTTTTGGCTTTCCTGTTTTCTGTTTCCATTCAGGATTCCACGTTGGCGCTTTCTTTATGATGCAGTTTGATGATTTCCGTAATGCATACCCTATCCACCTTCAACGCCTCTTGCTAATTTTCTCTCCAGCTCAAACGTGGTTTGTTCTCTCCCACAGTAGGTTTTCTTTCATACTCTCCAGGGAATACGTTTCTCACCAATCCAGAGGGAATGTCATAACCTATGTATATCCATTCCACAAAGGAATTATTTAAAGTCTGTAGGACCAAATAGAAGATAGGTAGAATGAAAGATGTCGGAATGATAAAGTAAAATAGAAGAGAGAACTAATTCATTATGGTGCATATTATAAACATAAAATGTTAATGGAATTCACTTATTCATTACTTAACTGATAGATGAAATGAATGTTTAGTAAGAAAAAGAAAAAGAAGCAATATCAGACATTTGATAAAAATATGATTACATAATTATGTTTATCATTAGTTTAACAAAACTATCAGTCTGGCTCTTCAATAACGAATTGAAGAGCTGTTCTGTTGTCGTTGGAGACCAGAACTTGCATATCCCTTTGAGAGTATGATATCTTCGGTCACTCGTGTGGAATTCTACAGTGAAGTTCCTCAGCAATTCACTCATGGTATTATGCTATAGATCAAACATAACACATTATATCCACTGCACGTTTGTATATTCAAGTGACTTAACGCCCATCATTTCTTGGTCATGCCTTCGCTCAATTTGCAATACTGTTTGCAATAGGTGCTTATTCAATATCTGAGCATATGTGTCCTCGTATGGATGAACCAAATAACCATTGAGAACATATTGGTACATGAAATGTTCACGAATGAATAGGCTGTGAGTCTGCTCAAAGTAATTGTGATTATTAACATCACAGAGTGTTAGTAATAGTTGTGATACCAGACATAGACTTCCGCAATTATTTCATGCACAAAAATCACTTTTATGATTTCAAGTCTAGTGATCTATTAACTATAACTGGGATTTTGTAATTGATCCACTCAAACTACGATCAAGAGGTCAGAAGTTCAGATATAGCTCCATTCACATTAAGGTAGGCATTATGATGAAAGACGTAACCACCAGGTGAACAGTTTGTATACACAAATCTGTGTTTGGTAAATGAATTACATTACTATAACTATAATTATTACTATTACTATCACTATATAACTTCCGTATAAGATTAGTCTAAAATTGTCTATGTACTGATAACCTTGTAATCAATAATTTCATTTTTTTCAAGACCAAAATATCTCACTTTAATATCAACATCTTACTCAATATCTTCATCAGCAGTTTCATTAATACCATCTAATTACACTTTAAAAAAGTATTGGGTACTAAAAGTACTGATGATTGTAAGTGACTGACAAGAATAATCTACATTATTGTATTTTGACCTGATGATGTCACAGGTATTCAGTGTTTGACAACGCTTCTACCAGTAACACCTTCTAATATATTTCGTTCCCACCCAGAGAAATCAAAAGACAGAGTCGAGGAGATCGGAAGAGTATATTTGGCGATGACCAATATATCGGAATTCTCTGATCTAATCTGGCTAGCGATTGCGGTTGATGTTGAGCACGGCGTTACCACACGTGATCTAGTGCGGATGCCTGACCTAGCGCCTTCAGCTAGATGAGTCCACTAAAACATATGGTCAGCATCCAATGTCGAAAACTTAGTGCTATTTATTTTGGGGATTTATTTACCGCTACAGACCAATGTTCTTTTTTAATGTAATAAAATATTTAGACGGCCAATTTTTTGTCCATAAACAGCCTGATACCATTTATTCAACCAAAAACACCTAATACGAGATGTGTTTTGCCGAAACTTCACCATTTTACTGAATTCAGAGAGATATAGTCAGATGAGCATCATGAGTTATGAGCGCAGAAGTAACTCACCTCGGGATCTAAATAAAGATTTATGACTCCATGGTTTTAATCTCTTTATATGGGACAGTTGATCATTGCTGTCGTTTGTCAATGGTCACTGTATACTAGAAGCTAAATGAAACCACTGATTCAGCACATTCCTTTCAAACTTATTGGTCTATACGTCATCTGTTTGTCTACAAGTGCTCACGACGGCTGAGTTTGATCTTGTGCAATATCATACTTGAGCACTGTTGACCAGTCATCGGTTAACACAAAATAGATGTCGAATGAAGCTTGATTTTGAAATATACTTTAACTGATACCAGTTTGTACCGTAAATAATCTCCAAATTGAATTAATTTGCACGAGTCTCTCGATTACATTCAATTTTGATGCCTTATAATTGAATCACTTTTGTCCCACAAAATGTTGTTGTTGAATCGAATAATATGAAGGCTAATAGAAGTTATTTTTTCTGGTTAGCGTTTTTTTAGCGAGTTAGTTTTCTACGGGATGGGGACGCTAGCCTCATGCCCAACCCTCCTCCTTTATCCGGGCTTGGGACCGTCAGTAGCCCCCGGAGGGACTCTAGGAGGAGTCTCAATATACACAAAGGGAAAAGCAGGATTCTCCGATACAACACAGCATGCACCAATCCAATCACAACTGACGGAGAAGATTTGGAAGGTGTGAAAACCTTTACATATTTGGGCAGCTTCATTGATGAACAGGGTGGATCTGATGCAGATGTGAAGCCGCGGATCGGCAAAGCAAGAGCAGCATATTTACAACTGAGGAACATCTGGAACTCAAAGCAACTGTCAACCAACACCAAGGTCAGGATTTTCAATACAAATGTCAAGACAGTTCTACTGTATGGGTCGGAAACTTGGAGAACTACGAAAGTCATCATCCAGAAAATACAGGTGTTTATTAACAGTTGTCTACGCAAAATACCGCAGATCCGTTGGCCGGACACTATCAGCAACAACGTACTGTGGGAGAGAACAAACCAGATCCCAGCGGAGGAAGAAATCAGGAAGAAGCGCTGTAAGTGGATAGGACATACATTGAGGAAAGCACCTAACTGCGTCACAAGACAAACCCTCACATGGAATCCTGAAGGTCAAAGTAAAAGAGGAAGACCAAAGAACACATTACGCCGGGAAATGGAGATAGACATGAGAAAAATGAACAAGAATTGGATGGAACTAGAAAAGAAGGCCCAGGACAGAGTGGGTTGGAGAATGCTGGTCGGTGGCCTATGCTCCATTGGGAGTAACAGGCGTAAGTAAGTAAGTAAGTAAGTAAGTAAGTAATAGAAGTGATGGTTGAAACAGGAAGACATAGAGTTCCCGTTCGTAGGATAGGAGTAGTCAGGCCATGAAATGATGACTGGATCGAGAGGTGATATTTAATGCTGTCCTGCGATTGATAGTAACCATAAAATGTGAAGTCAGTGTATGTTGTCGTTTGTGTTATGATAGATGCATAGAGTTATCGTTAAATTTGTATTAGTAGAATGATCAGAGGAACAGAATATTGACTAAGGAAACGAGATGGGTAGAATCGTATTTCTTATTGGCCGTGAAAATTT